CTTGGGTGTATGCCTGGAATCGAATTCGGAGGTCTCTAGCTCGAGTTATGATTTTTTGATGAAAATTAAAAGTCTGAAAATCTAATGTCTTTAAGAATTGATTCATGTTTGGAATTGTTAGTACCGGGTCCGTATTTTAGTTACGGAGCTCGGTACAAGTTTATTATAATATTTAAGACTTATCTGTGAAATTTGGTAAGAAACGGAGTTGGTTTGACATGATTCGGACGTCCAGTTGAGAAAATAGGAATATTAAAGTGTTCTTAAGAATTTTATTGGATTTGATGCTAAATTCGTAGCTCTAGGTGTTATTTTGGCGATTTGATTGTGCGAGCAAGTTCGTATGATATTTTTAGACTTGTGTGCACTTTTGGTTTAGAACCTCGAGGGCTCGGGTGAGTTTTGGATAGGCTACGGAGTGGATTGAACATAGAAATCATAGTTGGTGTGCTTCAAGTCTACAGACTTCGCAATTGCGAGGTCTAGCTCACAAATGCAAGCATCGCATTTACGAGCAGTGGGATTGGAAGGGGATCTTCGCATTTGCAATGTTTAGGATCGCAATTACGATCATCACATGCCGCATTTGCGAACGGTTGTCCGCATTTGCGAAGATGGACTCGGACTGGGATTCTCGCATTTGCGAGTTTTTCATCGCATTTGCGATGGTTCAATGTTCGCAATTGCAAACAAATGGTTTGCATTTGCGAACGCAGCAGAGATGCGAGGAGTTCGCATTTGCGGGCTTCGCATTTGCAAAGCCCAAGTCACAAATGCGACATCTGCAGCTGATCAAAATGACTTTTGGACGGGATTTTTGATTCATTTCCCAAATCTTCAAAACCTAAAACACAAGAGGCGATTTTTCAAAGACCATATCTTCCCCAAATCATAGGTAAGTGATTCTAAACTAGTCTCTTTCAATCTTTCACTACGTTTTACAAGATTTCAACCTAAAATCAAAAGTTTTTATGGTGGGATAGGGGATTTTTGGGTAGAAACTAGGGATTTCGAAATTTGGGGATTTAGACCTCAAATTGAAGTCGGATTCCAAAATCAATTGTATATCCGGGCTTGGGGGTTAATGGGTAATCAGATTTTGATCCGAATTTCGGGTTTAGACCAAGCGAGTCCGGGTGTTGACTTTTGTTGATTTTTTTCAAAAATGGCCTAAATTGAATTCTTTGCAATCGTGGGTAGTTCCTAAAGCTTGAATTGAATTGTTTGGTTAGTAATTTGCTAGATTCTATTGGTCTGAAGGCTTATGTGAAAGGAAAAGTTGTGATTGAGTATTGAGTGGCCTTCGGAGCGAGGTAAGTGTCGTGGTTAACCTTGGCTTAAGGGATTAGGTATTATGTGCCTATTTGCTATGTGTTTGTATGTCGAGTACAACATATAGGTGAGGTGAAGAGTACCTATGCGTTGTTGTCGAGTCATAACATGCAAGTGAGTTTTATTATTGTAATCGTGGTATTCCTTGATCATATTGTTCATGATTACGCTAGCTATTCATTATGTTGAACAACTCTGATTATGTTCTACGGAAATTGGTATTGATTGAGTATTGACTCAAAGTTGAAGTTAGTAACGTGGAATTGAATATTGAAGTAAGACTTGTTCTTGATATTTCTATCTCTGTTGTTATTGTTCATTATCTTGGTGAGGGAGAGTGTTAAAGCACGAAGGGTGATGTCGTGCAACGTTTTGTGAGTGAGTGATAATGCACGAAGGGTGATGCCGTACCATGTTATGAGAGAGTTAATGCACGAATGGTGATGTCGTGCTGTTTCTATTATTTCTTATGGTGAGGTTGAGAGTAAAAGCACGAAGGGTGATGCCGTACCATGTTATGAGAGAGTTAATGCACGAATGGTGATGTCGTGCTGTTTCTATTATTTCTTATGGTGAGGTTGAGAGTAAAAGCACGAAGGGTGATTCCGTGCACTTTCCTAGTAGTTCTTATGGTGAGGTTGAGAGTAAAAGTACGAAGGGTGATGTCGTGCACTTTCCTATTGTTTCTTATGGTGAGATTGAGAGTAAAAGCATGAAGGGTGATGTCGTGCACTTTCCTTTATTGTGTTTGCTTGTTTCTTTCTGTTAAAGATATATCGATTGATCATGTTCTCATTCTTGTTGTGATTCCTCACCATGTAATCCCCTCGGCATGTCCCCTTCCCAATATTTATTGCCTTGTTTCTTTAATTGTTGTTATTGTTGTATAAATTGATATATTGTACAGGTTTATTTGTAGATGTCTTGTCCTAGCCTCGTCACTACTTCGCCGAGGTTAGACTCGACATTACCAGTACATGGGGTCGGTTGTACTGATGCTGCACTCTGCACTTTCTGTTCAAATTTTGGTACCGGACCGAGTTGACCCTGAGTCTAGTTGTTGGCTTGATCCGTTTGGAGACCCAAGGTAGTCATGTTGGCGTCTGCAGGCTTTGGCATCCCCTTCTATGCATTTCCTTTACTGTTTCATTTGTATCGAAGACAGTTGTATTTTCTTCAGATATTTACTTGTAGTGAAATTTTAGAAGTTCGTGAATTGTGACTCCAGATCCGGGTGGTAGTAATTAATACAGTTTTTATATTATTCCGCACTTATTATATTTCATCTTAGCTAATTATTGTTATTTACTGAATGGAAATAAGGATTTGGTTTAATTATTCTCTAACATTGGCTTGCCTAGCAAGTGAAATGTTAGGCGCCATCACAGTCCCGACGGTGAAAATTTAGGATCGTGACATTTATATGCTTTGCATGGGGGAATAACTTAATTAGAACAACAAGAATCACTTAAATTCAAAGTCATTTTGCCGCCCTTGAAAAAGTCAACCAATTATATAACTACATTTAGATGGTTAAATCCATTCATACAATTCCTTTGTTAATACATAATAATAATAATAATAATAATAATAATAATAATAATAATAATAATAATAATAATAATAATAATAATAATAATAATAATAATAATAATAATAATACGGTTATAGGCCAGCTTGCATGCACGTCGACTATTTTATTTGGTATTTGCTACCTTCCATTAACAAAGATATGGGGTCGTCATTCTATCCCCGATAATTAGGCAGATGAAAGAAAATCACGTAACGTTCATTCTCTAATTAAAATCATGAATTATCATGTAAAGTCTATGATTATTCATGATTATATTATTCCAAAATTAATTCGGAGAAAAATAAAATAGAAAGGGCCAGTCGAATTTAGATTTAGTGCATTCAGAATGAGCGTAATCTTATTATATACATATAATTTAACTTTTTATGTATATATACATAGTTGGAGTAGAAAACAAACTCGGTTGAACCCACACAACCTGTCCCGAATCCATCTATGCTTTTATTGAATCATCCGCATTCACTATATATATTAATAATATTCAATCATTATCCTGTGGAGTCTATGATTATTCATAATCATATCTTTTCAAAATTTAATTCAGAGAAAGAAGAAAACATATCTGCTGTGTTTATTAGAAAAATACAGTTTTTAGCTTTCAGTGGACGTATTAAACGTTTAATTAGCAGAAGCATCTTTTCCACTCTCATTATACTAGAAAAAAATAATCATGGAGGAATTATGCAAATGGATTTCTAAAATAATAAACTGATTAATTAATTGTGCTAATATCGTTTATGCAATTTTCTTAACTTGAACTATACCGTGGGCGGTTTACTCTATATTCTACTACAATTGAGTTAAACACTACAAATTACGATGTACAGTCGGACCTCTTTATAACAGTTTCGTTTTTTGAAATTTTTTGACTGATATAATGAAGTGTTGCTATAGAGAACAGATATTATAACATAACATAAAAGATTGGTTCCAAAAAAAATTGACCAGTATAATGAAGTGTTGTTATAAAGAATAACTTTTATAAAGAGATCTGACCGCATATATTATATTATATATGAGCCCAATAGGATCAACTAGGCAACTATGGTATTGTTTTTTGCGTTAGAGAATATTGTTGTTTTAGTTAAAAAATATTAATACTTGTTCAAAATCAAATCTTAAGTGTGTCCTGTGTTGTAGTTGTATAAGAATAGTATTTAATATGATGTATTAGTAATGCTGCCGGAATTACTTTTTTTTATCGACTGTTTGGTTTGATGGTATTGCTAATGTTGATTTGCAATGTATAAGAATAGTACTGAATGGGCGATATAATGTAACTAATACATATATTAGTTATACATAAGGTGAAAAATACTACCAAATAAGGGATTAATAATACCAAAGGTACTACAAGGGAATCCTTAGAGTTTGTAGCATTAAAAATCTTTTACAAGGGAATCCTTAGAGTTTGTAGCATTAAAAATCTTTATCATAGCTATTCAGCAAATATGTTAGACAACTACATCTCAATCCCAAGTAAATTGGGATTGGATATATGAATTCTCACAACCATGTTAAATTCAATCTCATCTCAGGCATAAATATGTATGACAAATCCATAAAATACCCACAAATTTAGTAAGTATTTCAACATCTTCACATAAAAAGGGAAAAAGAATCCTAAAATCTAAAATCAGTCCTATGCTCCTCAGACAATATTCAAAATCATTCACAATCTGCCTGCAATATTCACAGCTCCTCCACAGTAGGATCTTGAAGTCTGATACTTAATTGATGATGATTTTCATTTTCAATATTGCAAGCATAATATATCCATCTCAGAGTAACAAGAAGGAAGACTAATCCCGCATATGGGTTTGGGGAGGATAGTACGTACGCAGACCTTACCCCTACCTTGAGAAAGTAGAGAGGTTGTTTCTGGTAGACCCTCGGCTCAGGAAAGATACAAAGATAAACGGATAAAAAGGCTCGGGAAAGGTAAAAAGGAGGGTGTAACAAGCAGGAAATTGGATATACAATACGCGTTAAATATCAAGTGATCAAAGACCTCCACGCTAATTGAGCATTAGATCCTGATTAAAGTTTGAATAGGAACAGATCAAAACTTAGATAATATAAACCTTAGTAGCTTTGATATGCCAAAAAATACTTCATGCACTATGAATCACTACTGGTATTGTCAATATGATACAAAGCTTGATATGCTTCGCGGACCGATGGCTTCATTCCCTAATTAACTAATTATGTAATTAGTTCACATGTTCTAGAAAATCACAAGGAAGTTCAACCCGGTTTAACAGTTGACCACCAGCTCAAAACCTCTGAAGCAAGCTCAACTCCTGCTTCTCTATCTGACCTGCAGAAGATATAGCAAGAAAAAGTCAGAAATCAACAGTTGGAACAGCATCGGATCGAAACACCATTGGGATTGAGCAGTTGAAAAGGGACCATTTCATCTTCAAGAAGAAAAATATATGGACTTGCATCCAGCGAGTACAAACTTATGCACCTTGCTTCAATTCTGAGCTTAGATCCCCCCCCCCAAAAAAAAACCCTTATCCACTTAAATAAATACCATGCTTTTGTCTGCTCTTGTCCGCAGCTAGGTTTGAACTCATGGCGTGCGTCTAACCCACATACCATGCGTTGTGCTCTTGCTACTGGACCAAAGCCTGAGGGGAGGGCGTGTTAGCCTAATAGTATTTTCAGTAAGATATTTAAAGCCAAGAGAAAAAAATGGAGTAATATAACGTTGCATTTTGCCTTCGGCTTTTAGGTTCCATTTAAGACCTCTAAGAATTTAGCACCATTTTCAATAAATTAGTTTTCCTCTTCAAGATGGACCACTAGAACCCCTCCTGTATCTTATAGTTAAGCTTTGAAAATGCCACCCAACCATCTTAAAGAGATGTGTCTAGTTCTTCAAATCCGCCTCCTAAGAGCAAAGGGGCTCGTTAGTCATGTTTTTGCCTCTTCTTTTTCCTCATTACTCTTATCTGTTCATTCCCTGCAACTTCCGGAAGATTGAAAACAAAATGAAAGATAACTCAACTGTCCAGCACTGCAACTACTGATATATGAATTCTAAATCCTCCTCTCGTCTTAGCTCCTGAACAGCAGCGGCTCTTTATCCCTTCTTATAGAATCCAACCCCTTCCTTCACAATAATTACCTCAAAAAATCCTCACTGCATATCCTTGAAACAGATTTCAAGTAGCAATTTTTCCTACATGACAAGTCTAGAGCTTAGGCTGAATGGTTTCATATCATAAGGGAGGAAAGGGGGAAGAGAAATGAGAATGGAGTAGCCTTAGGCATCCAGCTGAAAGGTCTCTCACTAGTTGTCAATACCTAGAAAAGAAAGCATGAAATTCTAGGGACAAAAAACGTACCACTCCACCAGGATTGATATGCATGAGCAACGTGAATTATATGATATACACCTAAATAGGCAAGCATAGGAATTTAAGCTCTGGATTTTATCTGCCTGTTCCTTATCATCTCAACTTATGTGACTCTTTTCTTTATCTGAATGACTTTTGTTTATTCCCACATTAAGTAAATGTATGATCTCTGAAAATATGTCAATTTTACAGAATAAACTGTAAAGTACTAAACTTTTTGCATATATTTGCCACCATTATCTCAGAATTAGACCTGCAGGTACAGAATATTTTAGCACCAAGAGCCACATTAAACTATGGAGATTAAAATGACAATGGAGTCCTTTGCGACTAAAGATTATATGCATCAGGGGAGATTTTTTATTACACTGGTATCCGATGTCTGGGCCAGCTTACAAGCACCTCAAATTCTCCCACCAGCACAGGTAGCAACAGGGGAACTTTGACCTTCACCAACAGAAATTCTTGACCTCAAAATGAGGATCTACCTTAATTATTGATCCTTTGAAAACTCATTTTTATCAGGTAAAGTCAATCTTGTGAACACTCTTATATCCGCTATAGTGGAATTGTGAGAAATATTCACTGCTAGATGATTTTCACCTAAGACACCCCAAGATCTTTGAATTCCCTACAACCTATATTGCGCGGACTCTCCAAAATATTGCTGCACCCGTGTTGGATCCTCCACAAAAAATGCACTACTTTTGGAGGATCTGACACGAACCCGGCAACATTTTCGAAGAGTCCGAACAACATAGCCTACAGCGCCAGGTGGAAAAACCATATGCACCTTCTTTAATTGTGTTAAAGGGTGAATGCTCAAATAACTAAATCGCAAAACCTATAACCTCACTGCTATAAAGCTCCTCATTTTAATAGCTGATCTCTTGGCTCCCCTGGGAAGGGAGGGGGGAAGGTGGAGGAGATATCTTACTCAAAAGTAAACCTCAAAGGCTCAAAATCATCCAACTAATATATCTATTAGGATTTCCATTCACTACATAAGTGCCTGCTCTGAACAAAATGTGCATATCAAGATTCAATCTTTCTGCTTCAACTATATATACAGAAGATACAGGATAATAGAATGAATTCTAATTGGAAAAATTACCATAACACGGAAGAAAACAAATGCTAAAGCCAGAACAGAAGCTCCTTAAATTTCCCATTCAGGAAAAAAAAAAGTTAAATTTTTAGACATAATGAACGGACCAAGTTGAAAACACACACACACACACACACACAAAAAAAAAAAAAAAAAAAAAAAGTGAATACAAAATCAAGAAATGAGCTTAATGAGTTCTCTTCATATTTAGAAGCTTAATAAACAAATGGAAAACAGATTGGAGCTAAGTTTGCAAGAAAAAAATAATAAAAATAAAAAAAAAGGTCTGTAGTGTTTTACCTTTCTTGGGGAAAAAACCACCTTCCTGAAAAATCCAGTAGCAATGCCATGGCCAAAGAACTTAGTTTTGGTCCAAACAAACCCTAACTGGTCAAAGTGTTTTCACAAAAAAAGGAGAAACACAGTGAGAAAATGCATTCAAACAGATCTTAAAACACACACTCACACACTCTCTCTCTCTTCTTGAAAAAGATTTGTTCTTTCTCTTTTATTATTTGTCTTGTTCCATTAAAGGCAGAGACAGTTTTAACAGTGAAACACTTCTCCTTTTTTTCTTTTTTTCTTTTTTTCTTTTTTCTGTGTGTGTGTGTGTGTTGGGGTTTAAGAAGGGGGTTTTCATTTTCCCCAGGTGCACGAATTACGAGGAAGAGAAAAGGGAGCCAAAGTTGCATAGGGAATAATAATAATAATATGTTGAAACGGCTACTGCCTACACATATTGCAGCACTCGTAATTTTCAAAAGTAGGTTCTCACTTAGAACTTCAGAAACTGAAACTGTTTCGGTACTTAATATTTTTGGCTATTTGTTGTAAACTTACACCATTTTTATTTTCTATTATTATGAAAAAAACCTCCTACACAAAGGTAAAGGTATTGTCTAGTTTTGTTAAGAAAATTATAGAGCATAATAATAACATATTCAGCGTAATCTCATAAGGGGTGTGGGGAGGGCAAAGAGTACACATCTTTACCTCATCTTGTGCATATAGAGATGTTATTTCTGATAAATTTTCGCCCTAAAGAAAGCATATATAATCATAATAGTATTGAAAAAGAAATGCAGCAGTGAAAAAGTCAAAGAATCTGTAACATAATAATAATAAAACCTAAACAAAAGCTGTGTCAGATAGTAATTAATAATTTTTTATTATTTAATACTAGTGATATGTTTGATTTATTGAATTAAAATAAGATATACGGCGTATAATCCAAAATATGCTTTTGATTTGAAGTTGCATTTGCTTGGGAAATAGCTTTGGGAGAAGGACATTGTTGTCATTTGTTTGTTTTATTCATGATTAGCTAATCCGAGTACTGTAATTTCACTTTGAATATGCTATAAAATAAAATTATGATATAATATAATCTTGAAATTACTTTTTTCAAAATTGAAAATTCCAATCAAATATAAGATAAAATAATATCAAAGTTATCTTGGGTTACATTCTTCATCCCTGATACCGTACGACCCACTATGGTTTAATATAGTGGATGACCCTTTTATATTTACATAATTTTTCTTTGAAATTATTTAAATATTTATAGGAAAGCACGAACCAATAAATGCGTAATATGATGAATTCACTCTATTGTACTTATAAATAGTTGACTCAAGACTCCGGTAATTGATGATGGTTGTACAGTCTTAGACAGGGGCGGACCTAGCTCATAGATACGGATTTACTTGAATTATGAGTGGCAAACGGGCGGAACGGGGCGGATATGGACGGGTCAAAAATAAGAAATGTAAAAAATAGGTAAATTATCCGATCCGATCCATATTTAATACAGATAAAAAAAGGATTAATCGACGGACAGGGGCGGCCCAACCCTAAAGCAAGTGAAGGCCCCAAATATTTAAGGGCCCCAAAATTACTAGTATTTCTCTATATATAGTTGTCTATTATTTATATAATTATTTTTTATTATTGATAAATTTATTTTTTTATTGTCATATTAATTTTTAATAATTCGATTTCTTCCTCTAATTAATATAACTAAAATAGTTTTCTGTCAACCTTATTTTACTTTTTTACTTAATTATATTTCTCTATCCATTAGTTGGTCACGTAACTATATCTAATAATCTAACTTATTATTTATTTTCCTTACATAAATTATACTCTCTCCGTCACAATTTATATGAAAGTGTTTGCCTGGACATGGATTTTATGAAATAAAGGAAGGCTTTTGAAACTTGTAATCTTAAATAAATCATAGAAGTTTTTGGGCTAGAAATCATCTCATTAATGGTAAAAAGAAAAATCTAAAGTTGAATTGTTACCAAATATAGAAAGGGACTTACTGAAAAAGAAGGAGTCACTTATGTTTTCTGGGTTCTCTCATTTCAGTTGTGATGTACGCAATCAACGTTAAATTTATTTAATTTTTTGTATTTTATAAAACTAAGTTCTCATTTTTTTAATTCCACATCCTCACTTGTCTAATTTTTTTAAAAATGATGTTCATTAAATAATATATATATATATATATATATATATATATATATATAGCCTCCGATGAGGTTGGGCCGCCTCTGTCGACGGATAATATGGATAACCATATTATCCATGGGTTCTTGAATATGATCACTTTTGAAAGAATTTCAAGTCTCCCAAACTTGAGTAATCCTCAATTTGAGTCTAAGTGGATAATATGATTTTTATCTAAATTTAATCCGTTTTTAAAAAGTTTATTATCCAACCTATTTTTTAATAAATAATATTGATAGATAACTGTTTTCTTTTACCCATTTTGCCACCACTAACGTGAACCAATTACCTTTTGCTCCGCCTGTATGTGTATTAAAAAAATTTACTTAATTATTACCTTAAAATTATTGTAGGAACTCATAAACTTTGTATCTTGTGGTGGATTGATTGCTAGTGTAAAACTATCTTTATTGCTTGATTTCACCAGACCAAAAAGTAGATACTACTATTGCCTAGGCAAAGATTTGCATTGGTAACTTACAACTTTGAGTTGGATCCATAACTTAAACGGCCTAAGGTTCTTCTGAGAGCTACTAGAATCCCCGTCTACTCTTTTAGTTAGTTCGACTTATGTTTGTGACAATAGTTATAGTTGATATGTTTGATATGATAAAAGTTACTTTCTCTATCTCATATTAATAGTCATGGTTGCTAAAAATAGTTATTTTATATAAAATTTATTTTTTGGTGCTTGAAAAACATTTTCTGTTAGTGGGGAGGAAATGATTTTTCTCTCGACTATGTAGGACAAAAAACATTTTCTTTATAATTGTCTAAAAGTTTTAACTTTCAGATTACTTGTTTATTAAACTTTAATACTTGAAGTTTTCGTTAAAACACTACTCGGATTTGCTAATGTTATTGATATGTATACGAGTGCTTACGAGAGAAGGATGCATAAGAACCCATCTCTAAGATCTTCAACGATAGAAAGGGCAGTCAACTGCACAAAGTGCCTTGTATTCACGCAGAGTCCAGGAAAGGCCGCACCCCTGGGGATGTGATTAGACAACCTACCTAATGCAAGCATTAGTGAGTGACTGTTTTCACGGCTCAAACTCGTGACTTATAAGTAACACGGAGATAACTTTACCATTGCTTCAAGACTCCCTTCCTAAGATCTTCAATTATATAGATCATTTTTCAAGAATGAAAACTGTAAGGTTAATTTTCCATCATCCAACACATGTAAGGAATAATATCTTCCCTATCATATCAAAATACAACACTCGGAAAGAGACTAGTTTCACTCTTTGTGCACCATCCTCTTGAGATTTCAAACAAAGAGTGATGTTACATAGCACTTCAGCTAGAGAAGACAAACTTCTCAAGAGAGGTCATAAGCCAAAACTTTATAAAGAATTTAGCAAATGAGAGGATGACTAGTGCATAAATTAGTAGTGCATTTCAAAGGCAACAAGGCCACAATAAGCAGGGGAATGTCACATGCATATAAACCATTTTAGGATGATAGCCAAAAAGGAAAGATGTAGTGTTAGCAAACACACTAGCCAACACAAATTAGCAAGCCAGAATACATCACACCGTATAAATTGAGTTTCACTTATTATTACCACGGCGAAGCACTTCTTGACACTAATACGTATTGAATGTAGAAAGGCATGAACATACAAAATAGACAGCAATTCACTCAGATCAGACCTGTTTATTTCAAGAGGTTTCAGGAGAAAATTTCCTTTTTTATCAGTTTGGTTGCAGGAACAAGGTTAAGCATGAGTAATTAAAAGATCTTCAAATTTAGGTCATTTCAAAACAACCTCATATCCCCCCCCCCCCTCACAACCCCCACCAGCCACCAAAAGAAATCCGAGGGGGATAGGGAGTGCTTAACTTAATGCTGCAAAGACGTGTTCTTTTACCACCATCAACACAACTACGAAATGAAGGCAAAGATCAATCGAAGATAGTAGAGGCACAGCAAGTTCATTGCAGCACCTCGTGTTTATCAGGTCAGTCACTTTAGACAAGATACCACTACCTTTACAAAGGAAAGGTACAAAATACTGAAATAAGGCTCTCTTTCTAGCTTTCCCAATACTCAAGCTATTTAACTATGTAGGCATGCATCAGTCATTAAACCGATCAGAAGGAAAATCCCCGTACGATTGTCATAAGATTGCAACAGCAACAATCTGGCTTCAATGCAACATAGCATTAACACTTCAGGCAGCCAAAATAATAAACCAAAGGAGAGTTATATAAGAACTCAATTATTTGAGACATTCAGTGCTATATATGAATCCAGTGTTGAAGTGCAATACAAATGCTTTCTTTGAATGGTTACACCAGTAAACCTTGTTTAAATGGAAAATTAAGGTTGCGATAAAAACTCGCAGAAAGAGAAGTACTAACAGAAATATGTCGCTTTGTCTACTTTCGCAAATAAAATGTAGTTCATTGCCACTAGCCAACATCCAATCTAGTGTCAAGTGAGATAAAAGCTAAGCAAGAAAGCGCAACATAACCAAAGTGCTATCAAAATTGTAAAATCCATAACTTGGTCAGACAAAAAACTCGACCTGTTCAAGACCAAGCTCTGAGTTTATGGTTTTCTTGCATATCGAAGATAGCACAAAATGCCTGCAATAGCAACTGAAGATACAGCCACCACTGACAAGCCTACTTTTACACCCGAAGATCCAACCTTATTCTCCGCTCCTGGAATTCCATTAACATTGCTGTCAACATCTCTTTCATTAATCAACGTTTCCTTCTCCTCTAACTTCTTCTCCAGCTCAGCCACTTTACCCATCATCTCCATTATCCTCTTCTCCAAATCATCTTTCACCATATGAAGCGCCTCCTTCTCCTTTTTCCATGCCTCATTGTTCATCACAGCAGCCTCTAAATCCTCAATCTTCTTCTTTAAGCCCCTAATTTCTTTCTCCTTCACTTCTACTTCAACCCTCTGATCATTTCCACTAGCTTCCAACTTCTCGACTTTCAACAATAACAAATTCCTTTCACTCTCAATGGCACTCAATTTCCCACTCTTCTCATTATCACTACTCTTCAAACCCCCCAGAGCCAACTTCAGTTTCGACAACTCCAAATTCGATTCTTCTAGATCGTTCATCGCAGTTATGAGATCATGTTGCAGTCGTGAGTGTTCGCCCTCGAGCTCTGCTGCTCGTGCAGCTACTGATCCTAAAGCCTTATTCTCCGACTCAAACTTCTCCGCCTTCTTCTGCAACTCAACTTTTTCGTTCTCCA